TGCATCCTTTTTTTTTGATTCTTGCTGTCTTTCTAAAATGATAATTTTACATGGCTTGGAGCAATGGTTGCGGGAGGTACACGATGCACTCCAAAGCTTGTTAAGTCAACAGGTTTTAAAGCTGTATCTGTACTGATCGTATGGAGTTTCCTTCTGTTTAAGAAATTCCTCATGTCCAGGCTGCTGGGCACCTGGGTGAGCTCAGCCACGGCCAAAAGCCTCCACCACGCTCACTTACCAAAACACCAGCAATATGTTCAAGCCCAACAGGGCTCCATCTCACTTTATGCTCCAGGATTAACACTCCTAGTGCACAGCATAGCAGGACCCATACCCCAGAGCACAGAAAGGACGTGTACACCCGGTCTTCCTGTGCATGGCTGGGTGCACATGCAGGGACCATCACGTTTTGCACATCCAGGCTCTAAGCACAAGCTCCCCGCACCGCCTGCTGCCTGCCTCCGATCACTGATATCCCCGAGATTATCCCCGGGGTATCAGTGACCTAAATTCACTGTTTTGTACTTGAAAGTTGCTTTTGTTTTTAATGTCGTTGAGTCTAAAACCAGCACACGTAACAAACTGCCCGTTTCCAAGCAGCTGTTGTGTAACTTTGCTCCCCACCCTCAGAGATGTTGCCTGCCATTCATTTAACCGGCTCGGTTTCACTGGGAAGTGCCCGAGGGAACCTCTTAGCTGCCTAATTAGCAACAGAAGGGGCCAGTCCTTGCTGGAGGTAGCAATGAAACATTTGTGAGGTCTCCTGAGAATAAGAGAGGCAGAGAAGGGGCCATTTCCAGCTGGGAAAATGCTGACTTTTATTCAGCATCCAGTACCTAGCCGTAGCCGAGGACTAAAGAGAAGGTGCGGTTAGAAGGTGCGGGAGGAAGGTATTTGCAGAGGAAGATGAAGATGGGCTTTCTAGGCAAGAAAAGAGCATTTATGAAGGGGGGAGAGGGGATAGAAGAGATTGTCCCTGGCCCTCCCAAGCTGTTTGTTGTTCCTGCAATCTGATTTTTATGTAAGATATTGTGGAGCAGCACAGAGGCCTCGTGGGCTGGCTGCTGGTGGAGGCAGGAGCAAGGTGTTGCTGCTCAGTTGTTTGAGCTGGCTCTTGTTAATAAGATTCAGGAATTAACAGCTTGGAAGTGCTTAGGAGCTAAGTGTTTCCTCCAGGGACGTGATCGCTGAGGCTGAGAACAGAGCCTGCCATTCAGGGCTGGAGTAGATTTTGGTGCAAAACAAATCTCCCGCCAACCAGTTGAATGTCCTGAGACCTCACTGGGAAGGTGGAAACTTTGCCGGTCCATTGCGGGTGGAGTGATGTGCTTCAGACTATTCCTTATCCTCCAGGACACAGCCACATGTAGTAAGCTCTCTGGTTTTTCCCATGTGATCTCACTTCTGGGCAGGGTTTTTTTCATACGAAATCTACTGAGAAGAGTCGTGTGTGCATGCACAGTCCTGGCTTGGACCTGTTGGACTGTGGAGACCATGCCTGTTCAGAAGTCATGCAGGGAAATACAGCATTTGGTATCTTTGGCCTGTGGGAGCAAAGATCCAGTCGTGTGGAGGAAAGCCTCATTAGCCTCAAGGACCTTCCTTAAAAGCAAAGGAAGAAGGTGGAGTTCAAAGACAGAGTGATGCCATGGGATGAGCAGGGTTATGGGAGCCTGGAGGAGCACAGGGGACATCTGAAGCTTCCAGATATTGCCCTGCCCTGCAGTATTACTAGCCAGCAGCCCACCAGTAGTGGCCACTGACCAAAGAGAAAGGAGAGACCTGGTCCCTGGTATAAGTCAGGAGACCATATTCATAAAGATCCCCTGTTAATGAGCACCATTTACTCTCTAGTAATATTCTTAAGACATTGAACCTGATTTTGCACATGCAAAAGGAAAATCATGCAGCAAAGCGTTCATGCTGTAAGATGAAGGGCAGAGCGTTACAGCTGGGGCCATAAATCCCAGTGAGGGGCTTGCAATGGCTCTAAAGGTCAGAATAATCATTTCCAAGTTGTCACAGTGTCTCAAGCTATAAAAGAGCTATGTTCAAAGCCTTTGTGCTCCGCTTTACTAACCCTGTTCATTAGCTCATTTCATAAACAGAAATCACCAGCTTTCTTCCCTGTGTGTCAGGTTTCAATATTCATAGTTATCTATGAAGCTTGGATTGTGACTGTAGGCAATCGGCAATGAGAAAAACAGAACGGCCAAAACAGAAAAAAAGCCCAAATGAGTGTTTGGGGGGTATGGGGGGAGCGGTATTACGTGTACTGTGAGCTCATCTTTCCCACTAGAGGGCACTCGGTGATTGCAGAACTGCTGCTTGGCCGTCCAGTGCTCCGCCCAGCAGCCGGTCGCCCTACGCCAGCATGAGCGAATGGGCCTGGGAGAGCTGGCAGGTTATGTTGTGTTTGGCTCCTCCTGCTTGTATCCAGCTGCTAAACCAGCTGCAAGAAATACATTACGGTTACGTTTCTATGTGCGTATTTTCTATCCGTGCTGCAAGGGTGATCCTGCAGATCAGTGACAAGAGCAAGAGCAAAACGTAGGAAGCGAGCTCTGTTAGTATGTGATTTGTGCAATGGAAACGTATGAAATCCCTTTATAAAATGATGCCAGTCATAAAGGGACTGCGGGACGGCAGCAATTGGAAGCTTAGAGGGAGATGCAGTAGTGAGATACAGTATATCAAATTTATTCTCTTTTTTTTCCCCATACCAGAATAGCAGCTGAACCAGCAAAATCACAACACTGGGACAGAGGCAGAAAACGTTCTAATAGTGCTCCAAGAAGGCTTTTTTAAAACGACTTTGCTACAACATCTGTCATTAAGGATAAAGGATCCTGCCTCAGTGCAGGGACATGTCTGAGACATGTCCTTTTCTGTGGGATTCCCCTTTCCATTTGTGGGACATCTATCAAAATCTCTTGAGTGGCAGCCTTGCTGACGCCAGCAAGCAGTTTCTGCCTGGATTTGTGCGTTTTGGCCACTAGAGGTTGTAAGAGAGACGAAAAAAAAAAAAAAAAAAAAAAAAACCCAAAACAAAAAACCACAACCAACAACTTGTTTTCTACGAACAAGCTGCTGCAGTTTACCAGTTTGGGATTTCCTCTGGGACCCTTTGATCTCCACCCACCAGCACTCAGACAAAACTCCGGCGTACCCTGCATTTCAGTAGATGGGATCTTGGCATCTCAGCTCTTTCAGATTTATCAGTTGGGTTTTGTTGCCTTTTAGCCCCAGGGTCTTAATGGCCTTGGTGTGTCCCCTTGTATCTTAAGCAAAAGCTGTTCTGATTCTCCCAAATCTTTTAGACAGAGAGCAGCAACTTGTATCTTTTCTCTGCAGCTTTAACTAGCACTGCTGGCTCCTTTTCCACATTCCTGGTATAGATAATCTCACTCTCAGATGTTTATGCAAGACCTTCATCTGCCAGCCTTTATGCTTTTTCCCAGTGCTACATAAGAAATAGAATATTCCCAAGGTCTCTTTTGTTTCCCAGGGACATCACAGCCTGGCACCTTGTAGGGGTCCTCAGCTACCTTCCACATGGGTTGTAATTCTTTCCTCTTGCTGCTAATAATTCTCTATAGTCTTCTCACTGTAGTCCCTCTGCAATCAGGGATGCCATCTTCCAAGAGGCCTCAAGAGAGCTGGATTTGTTTGGGAAATAGGACCTTAAAGCTAAGTAATCCCAGATGGACATAACCAGAAATAGCTATGGTGGAGCAATAAATTGAGCTTCTACCGAATGAAGGATTTACAAGCTTTTCTTCCTGCTGGGTCTTTTTGATGGCACAGTGGCTGCATATGAACTCAGAGCAGTAGGAGACCTAATCACTACAGATCGCACTGGTCATGGTACTTCACTTTGAGCATTGCATGGAGATAAGAATCATTTCCTCTGACAGTAAAATGTAGCTATTCCTGGAGTGAAGCACAGCAAGGACACTGTGCAACAATTCAGGAAGGAGAAGCCTTCATCCAGTAGGATTTTGCCAGCCATGAGGGAAATGAAATCAAGTTCCCTGAGCTAAATAAACCATTGATTTCTGTGGAAAATAAAAAACTCAACTTTTCTTTTTTGTTTTGTTTTGTTTTAGCTGCTGCAAATCGCAGGTGCATAAGGAATAGAGCCACGTTATACAGAGGTTGCAAGAGACACCTGGAGGTCAGGTCATCCCACCTCCTGCTCAGAGCAGGTCCAGGTAGGTCAGGTTGCTCTGTGCCTTGTTCCTGTCAAATTTTGAATGCCTCCAAAAATGAAGATTGCACATCCTTTCTGGGCCCCTGTCTCAGCATCTGAATACCTCCATGGTGAACTAATTCCTCATCATATCTAACCAGAATTTCCCCTGTTGCAATTTGCATCCATTGCCTTTTCTCCTTCTACTGTTGCTCCTCCAAGATGAGTCTGGGTCCATTTTTCTCCTACACTCTCCGCTAGGTAACTGTAGACAGCAGTAAGACCCCACCCTTTGCCTTCTCTTCTCTAGGCTGAACAAGCCCAGGTCTCTCTGTCTCTCCTTGTAGACCACGTGCTCCAGTCCCCTGGCAGCTTGGTGGCCCTACACCACCAAGGGTGCACTCACTCCAGTTTTTCCTCTACCAGCAAGGCCAGAACTGGACATGGTGTTCCAGATGTGGTCTCACAAGTGCTGAAGAGAGCGAAGGATCACTTCACTCAGCCTGCTGGCTAACGTGCTTGCTATATAGCCCCATATGCATCTCGCCTTTGCTGCAAGGTCGCCTTGTTGACTTAGGCTCAGGGGAGGACCTCAGGCCAGTCTCCGCAGAGTTGCTTTCTACACATTTGGCATCCAGCCTGTGCTGGGGCACAGGGATATTCCCTTCCCACGCGAGACTTTGCATTTGCCTCTGTTGAACTTAATTTGCAACTGCACAGTTAGGCAATAGGTGGCACTAACGGTTGATGTCGCTTGCATTGCGTCACTGCTGAAGAGAAAGGCAGCAGAGGAGGCACCTGGGTTGCTTTGCTCAGAGCAGCGGCCAGGCGAGGAGGGGCAGACATGTGGCAGGACTTCCTTCAAAAGGCCTGGTGAGATCTCCGCACGGAGAGGAGGGACTCTGAGCTGGGCTCCCCAGGGTTGGGGCTGGAGAAAGCCCCTGCGGGGTCACCAGGCCATCAGAGGGTGGGAGCATGCAGCTGAGTTCTCCTGGGCATGACTGGGGAGGAGGTTTTTTTAGACCGAGCCTTGTTTTGCGCCACTTAGAGAGCTGCTTCTGAGACGTGCTTGCTTTGTTAGCAGTGCCGAGTTTGTGCTGTTGCCGTGATAACTGGTTTCTTGTCTCTGAATCACTAAACTCCTGGATCTAAGTGCAGGGGGATGTTATTACCTGTTGCATAAGCTACTCAGCCTCCAGGGAGGTGGAGGCTGACACTGTTTGCTCTTAGGAGCCCGATTTGTCCTTGTTGGGGACCGGTGTAAGGAAATACCTCCTTAAAAATCACAGGTAGGCTGTCTCAGAGATTGTTACCAAATTGCCTTGGTGACTGGGGAGTCTCCGGTACAGCACCTGGTTCTGCATCGCAGGCAGCAGTGGGAAACAATACTAGGTAAAAAGAAACAGCCAGCGGGCTTGTATTTTCATGGACTTTCATGTCTTTTTTTTTTTTTTGTCTTAAGATATCGTAATTATGGCACCAAACAGCTCCCTAATCTAGCTGCCTTCCACAAGGAAAAGTAACAAGTCTTTCTCCTGTCACTTCTAATTTTGCTAGATTTTAGACTGTGTTTTTCTTACAAGAGAATCTATTAGGCTGAAAGAGAACCATGGAAGATGTTTTCTTTTTCTTGTAGGCAAATGAGACCTAAAAGCTTAGTATCCAGCAAGAAGTAGCAAAGGTATATAGCAGCTCATTGAACTCTGAACCGGGAAAAGTCCCACATGCCTCTCTTTCTGCTAGCCCTGCAGCATGATGAGTCCCACATGGCTGGCAGCAGAATAACCCTTGAGCTTGACCGTCCCCTGCCAACACTGTGCACCTATTGGTACACAGCAGTGAAAATAAATTATCTTCTTGGCTGAAGTGACAAAGCTGCTTGTAGGATGAAACACCGCAAGGACATTTACCCAGTTGTTTAGTGTCTTTTATCTAAATTGTGCTGAAGGAGTGAATGTTATGGCCACAAACTATCTAGCTAAAACAGCCTAGAAACTCTCTTTGTGCAGAGGCAGTGCTCTGAGCCCCTCTGTTTCTGTCCCATTCAAAAAGTAGGAAAAATAATGGCAGATGTTGCTGGGTGGCTAAACAGCTTGTGATCCCATGGCTGGGCAGTAAATGGTGCTGGCAGGTGATGTTCTTTGCACCATTCCCAAGGGTTGGTACCATTCAGACAACACTATCAGATTATAAGGATCTTAAATTTTTTTTTTCCCTTTTGTAGGGAGCACATCTCATCCCGGATCAGGTGAGTGAAATAGCTGCTCTATGCTGAGGCCTCCACTTTTCATTAGCACCCTGGTTAGGGCACAGCACAGTCTCTTTCCCACCCTGTACGATGACAACAAAATCTTCCTTCACAGTACCCTTTGTAGCTCCAGACTCCTCTACTAATCTCCAAGGGAAGCTGGAGAGTTTGAGGCACAGGTCAGAGGGACGGGAAAGTACACTACATTTGGGACTGCTCAGGCAGGTGAACGGTTTTGAAACATGTTGCCTGTCTGTTAGAACCAACTCTGGTGACTTAGCTCCTACACTTCGAGAAAGTCTGAAACCTTGCTGTCTGGAACAGAAACAGGGGCACCAGACAGACAAGCTGAGACCCTTACCCATGGAGAGCTACGGTAGAGGGCCAGTGTTGCCCTAAAAGATGACTGAATCTGTAGGGGAGCTATGTGTAAAGCACTGCCAAGAGAGGCATGTCCGGCACATCCAGCTCTCTCCAGCAGCTGAAGACCCTTGTCTCTGCTCCTGCTCCTCAGCCCATTCTGTCTGTACAATTTTTATTCCCGGAGGAGTCCAGCTGCTGCTATCCCATTCTCTCCAGTACCTGCCTTAAAATAGACTGGTCCATATCCAATTGACCCCTGTCCCCAGAGTATCCTGGTTCACAAAGGCCAAGGAAGCCTTGTGATCCGCGAGTCCCGATCAGCAAGGACTTGAGGTGCCTAAGAAGCACTAATAGATGTAACCCTGCTCCAAATCTTGCCTGTGAGCTTCAGAAATAACAGAACCCCCAGCCTTTGGTGACTCCATGAGATCCGCAGGCATTTGTTACTGCTCAGGCCCAGCTGATGTGCATACAAGCCTCAGCATAGTCTCTTTACCCTTGATGCTGCTGGTTTTGAACACAAACAATTTTATGCCTCCCCAGGTCTTTTGAATATTCTCAGAAGAATGCAGTCCTCATCCCTGCAGCCACCCTGGGGGTTGGAGGGATGCTGGTTTACTGGCTGAGGTCTAGACACAAGGTCAAGACTATTGAAATGGGCGATGGATGGTGGGGCTCAGGTGAAAGACCCCTAAAAGTGAAAGAAGATGAAAGTATCCGTCCCTTCAAGATTGAAACATCTGACAAAGAAATTGAGGTACCAGTGGCTGGGATGTAAGGAGAGGCAGAAATCTGCAAGGTGGAGCTAGACCATCACCCACCTTACTGCTTCGAGGTGATGCCTTGGGGGTGGCAGCAGTACACATATATGCAAGTGCAGCTACCTAGCACCATTAGATGATGCCCTGGCTCACTGCCCTTTATGAATGGAATTTGAGCTCAGATTCATTGCAATGTTCCATAAAGACTTTCTTGAGACCACAGACCCTCCATGCAACCTGGGGCTGCTCCCACAGAAAGGCCACGCTTTGAGCAGCAGACTTTGACAGTGGGTCTGGAGATGGTGGAGCCGGGGGGAGGGGTCAGGACAGCAGTGGCACCAGTGGGGAAGGACTGAGAGGCTTCCACAGGGGGAAGGGCTGGAAGGGTGAAGAGGGACGAGGTCTTGACTGAGTCGCAGCACCTCTGTCCCTACATGCCTGTCCCTAATTATCTGGCCAAGTAGCAGTCGGCAGCTCAGGCTGAGCTTCTTATTCCTCTCCCAGCCAGCAGTGCTGGCAAGCTCCTAGTGTCAAAAACCCTGAAGCAAGTTAGCAGCAAGGCAAGAATAGGACCCAACTTCCCTGGGTGCCCGAGGGGAATTAGTAACCTGTAGAAAAATACATTCCCCACCCGTGTAAACAATTCAAGGGGTCATGCAGAGCATGCCACCGCTTCAGGAGGGCTTGTGGTGTCCCAGATAGTGGTACAAAAGCTGGCAGAGCCAGGAGAGCCCATCCGTGCCCACCCTGGCGTAGGGCATGCACAGGCAGCTGGCCAGTTTCAAAAGAAGGGCTCCCCTCTGCAGGACCTGCACCGGCGCCTGGATCAGGCCCGCTACACACCGCCGCTGGAAGGGGCCACCTTCGACTACGGCTTCAACTCCATCTACCTGCAGAAGGTAGTGACCTACTGGAGGAACCAGTTCGACTGGCGCAAGCAAGTGGAAGTCCTTAACAAATACCCCCATTTCAAAACCACCATTGAAGGTGAGGGGGTCTCTGTGGCTTGAGCAGGTCTCGCTCTGAAATGCATGGAGAGAACAGGGGAATGTAAGAGGTCACAATATTTAAGACAAAGTATGCATAACACCTTAATGATATGAGTGAAATATCACTAATGGATGCTATATTATTAATAACCTTCTCTAGATTAAGGCCATTACACAGTGCCAGTAAAATTAGGTCTGCTTCAAGATGGGCTTCATCTGGCTCTGAACCTGTGCTAACTGATGATGAGGTTTTCTTCTGCTATTGCCTTGGAGCCACCTTTGAAAACTGCAAAATTTAATTGGGCTCTGAGGCTAGAATTTTCCCTACCACCACCCAATTTAGCCAGGTGACGTTAGCCAAACTTTAGGTAAGTGATCTGCAGGTTAAACTTCTGTCTTGCACTTATTTTTTCATGTTTCTCTTTTTATCACCCACATATTTTGTAATTTTGTCATGGTTTTGCATGTGCCTTACCTGCATTATGCTATTCATTTAAGTGCAGCTCTACTTATATACTGTGAGACCAGTTTCTCAGGAGACAGATGCTCGATCTCGTGCGACCTCAGTATCTGGGGCTGGGATCAATACCTCTGTCTGTGTGTAAAAGATGAGACGTAGGTACAATACCAGGCATCCCCTTTCAGCTAGGCATCTTCTTGCGATGGGTTGATTCTGTAACTTCTGCTATGAATGCTAATTACAATTTTGGCACCTTCCTTCTTCAGAGACCAGAGCAGAAATTGAGACGGAACCAGAGCTTTAATTTATCTGTCTTGGATGTGTGACAGGAATCGATATCCATTTTATCCACGTGAAGCCCTCCTATGTCCCTCATGGTCGAGCTGTTCAACCTCTGCTGATGGTCCACGGCTGGCCTGGCTCCTTCTACGAGTTCTACAAGATCATCCCTCTGCTCACAGAGCCAGCTGGGCACGGCCTGAATGAGGGTGATGTGGTGTTTGAGGTCATCTGCCCCTCCATTCCAGGCTATGGCTTCTCAGAGGCACCGCATCAGAAAGGTAAGCAATGAAAAGGCTCTGTTAGAATTGCAAGGTTTTTGGAGTAACACCTCAGCCATCCCCAGCCCCTCTGGGCGCTGCAGTTCATGGACACTTGGCTCTGCACTAACACTCACATCACTGAGGCTCTGGGGCTGGCTGTGGAGATTTGGAAGGCAATGGTAACTGGAAGCCAGATCTGCTTTCCACTTTCTCCATTTTCCACTGAATTTCTATCATCTTGTGTTCACTTTATTGCCAAGGAGCAAGGCAGAGCAGCATAGCACGCTGTGCCTTCACACAGCAGCATACTCACATCCCTCTGTCAGGCCATGATATTTGGCCAGGGGATGAACACTAGGACAAACAGGTCTCCTGTGTTTCTCTTTACCTACAGGCTTTGACTCCATAGCAACTGCTCGGATATTTCATAAGCTGATGAACAGACTGGGCTTCAAGGAATACTACCTACAGGGAGGAGACTGGGGATCTCGTATTACCACAAACATGGCCCAGATGCTGCCACAGTGAGTAGCAAAGGGAATCAGTGCAGAAAAGCTGCCTCCAGTTCTTACCGTGCCTTCTGGCTCCATGATCTTGGTCCTGCCTTCTGTTTGCTCTGCCACTCATTCTCTTCTGCTTTGTTTCCTCCTCCCTTCCCCACCCCTATGCATTCAGTTGTATTCATATGCTTTGCATTGATACTAGCACAGTTCTCACGCTTCCTAAATCTCAGTGCTGTTTGGCTTCTCTTTCACTAGCTGTGGAAGTAAACTCTGACGCATTTTGATTTGAGACCTCAAGGAGACAGATCATCATTCTAAATCAGGAAGGAGATAAATTTAAAATCAGCAGGGAGAAAAGGAAGGAAGGAGCTCAGCCTTTCAGCAGCTGAACAGTACCACAAAACATAGGATTTTCCTATCTAAAATGCAGAGTTGAGGCTGATCGGAAAAAGAAACACAATACCTTCCTTAGACAATAGCATCACAGCTCATTGCTTAGCATTTAATGAAAAGTGGGCACCACAGCCATGCTTAGGTCAGAGAACAGATAAAGTGGGAAAGTCTTAAATCAGTTAGACTGCGGGCTGAGCAGCTCACTGTGCCTGGTTGCAGTTGTGCTTCACAGCACCCAGAGCACAGTGACCACATGTGATCTACTCAAGCTTTTCAGAAAATACCCAACATAGCCTGTTCCCTACAGCACAGAACAACACAAGATCAGCAGCCAGAGCTACCAGCATGGATATGCCACATCCAGAAACTGAATACCTAACGCTGACATCATACCAGTGGCACAGCTGGATGGAGATGGCACCAGCTGTACCATTTCAAACTTCCATAATTTTTTTTTTTAATCATAATGAACCTGAAGGGCTTTATGTATTTGGGTCAGTGAAATGCTTCTATCACAGCTCCAGTCAGACTTTTTTCTAGAAAATGTGGAGACAGAAAATCACTTGATTTAACCTTCTATTCATTAACTTAATTTTAGATCTGTGAAAGGGCTTCATCTGAATCTCGTCTTCATCAGCAGACAAGGTTTGAGAGGGATGATTTCTGTGATGCTTGGGGCTTATGTACCATGGCTTGTAGGCCTCACTAAGGAAGATGTTAAACGTACATACCCTTTCATCCAGAAGAATATATATACTCTTCTGCGAGAGTCTGGATACTTACATATCCAAGCCACCAAACCAGACACTGCAGGTAATGAACCCTCTCTATATCACTATGAACATTGTATACTAACTGCTTATGGTATATAAAAACTTAAAGTTGATCAAAGGCCAACCATGTTTGAGAAGCAATGAGTTCTGGTGACTGAATGCGAGACATGGAGACAAGAACTGTGTAAAAGGAAGTTAAAAGGAACAGCATAAAAAAAGTCGGAGACTACAAATACCACTTTTCAAGGTCTTTTAAATGGCATGCCATTTCTCTTGGGGAAAGAACCCTCTTGCAAAAGGCCTCTTAAAGTAAAGCACAGGGTCCTGAAATTGTAGCTTCTAGAAATAAATGTGAGTGAAAACAAGAAAAATATCATAAGCAAGTGCAGCGTGTGCAGAAGGGTAGACACAGCCCCAACACCTGAAAAGCCAAAAGCCTGACATAGTCAGTGCGGCCAGTAGATAAGGAGTCTGAAGAAAGGTATGGCCATCTCAGAAAAGTTAAATGAATTATTTGCATCAGTCCCCCCTAGCGAGGATTATGGAGTATTCTTTTATAGAAACAATCCCTTGTCAGGAAAGAGAGCAGAGCTGTCTCAGACTGGTGTCAGATGTGGGGACCATAGAATGAATAGCACCCCATCCTGGCAATTCACTGAAAAAGAGGAAACAGACTGAAATGTCAACTAATGCCTAGTCTGTTGCTTGAACTGATTGTAATACCAATAGAAATAAAAGGAGACAAACAAGATAACAGGTTGGGGTTTTGTTTGGGTTTTTTTTTAAGAGCCAAACAGTGAAGGGAGCCCCAGAAAAATGAAGACCAATATGTCTAGTCTCTAATCAGAAAACTAGCAGAACTATTTTAAAGAGGAGAATTGATTTACAGGTGATAATATCACAGTGAAATCATGCTTCAAAAATTAGAGCTTTGGCAGAATCAGAGCTGTGGATCCAGTAATGGAACATATTTCATTTCCAAAAAAGTTTTATTGAGGTTCCTCCCCCAATGTTCTTAAAGACATTAAACTGCCTTAAGAAAATTATTAAGTTCATGGACTAACAGCTAGTTAACATGAGAATCCAAGCATAGGAATAAGTAAGCAATTTCCAGGGGAGGGAGACTATCACAAAAATCCATACGTTTCAACATGATCCAAATTTCTCTACAGATAAAAGTTAATGGTTAAGTGAAAATTCGACAGCTATCCAGGGTTTAGTTCAATCTAAAGATAACCACAGAGTTGCGAAACCATTTCAGTCACTGGTTGATTAAACTGGCCAATAAAAACTGATGTCAACGAAGTTCAAAGCAATTTAAGTAGAGGAAGAAAATCACAATGGGCTGTAGTTTGGCTGCTGCCGTACAAGAGAATACCTGAGTCATGGACAGTGTGTTGAAACATCAGCCAGCTCAGAGTTTGAGATAATCTTACAAACTCTTAAAGAAAGCAAAAAGAGACTGAGACAAAATCCATAATATTCAGAATCCGTTGCGCCCCTGTTCATCCTGTTTCATAAATATATTGTAGAATCAGAAGAATACAGGAAGGGGAGAAAAGGAAGATTCAAGTGACCGAGCAGCTTCCATACCAGCACTGTATGTAGTCTAGGACTTTTCAACCTGTAAAAAGAAGAGTAGGACTTTTGTAGCACACCACAATTGTGAAATGTAGAAAATTAATAGGGGAGGAAAAATGTACTCCCTACTCAGTCTCAAGAAATATCTACATTATCAGTTTAGTTCTCATTAGGCAGGTTTACAGCAAAGCTGAAGTGTTTTCACGCACCAGAAGCTGTGGTACAGGTTAAATGACTAATAAGCTGCAAAGACGACTGGTACCTCTGAGCATCTAATCTACAGATGTTGAATACAGTGCTTCAGAGGCAGCTTTCAGCCCAGAAAATGCTCATCTCCAGATGGGTCATGTGCTAGCTGGCACATTTTAGCCTGCCCCACCATTGCTGATCAAAGCATTTACATGACCGTGATCTGCAGCAAATCACTCTCTGCCTGCTAGTGCAGGGAAACTGTTGTGCCAGTGTTGTGCCAACTAACTTTGTGTGAGCTGTTGTCTACTATTAAATTGAGACCATGTTGTGCATCGTCTTCTACAAAGTCACTCAGTGCTACGGTCACACGAAAATACACTTGAGAGTAGGCAATACTGAGTATACTGTAAAACTGCAGCCTAGGGTATAATACGGGAATTTTCCCAAAACAAGCCTCCGTCACTACTGAAGTAATCCCTATCCCTGTTCCAAGAACACAGGTATGTGCTGTGTCCCTTCTGTGTTTATAGTGTTTGTTAGTCTTCCCCAAAGGCAAGAACAGATGACAGATACGCAACACTCCACTGTTTAAATAGTTAAAAAGCGATGACCAGCATTCAGGGTCCCAGTTATCCGTCCTAAGCAGGACAGTACTCCCAGATAGTTTATCTGAAATTTCTTTTCAGAGTGTAATCCCTTTACATCTGGATTTTCTCATTCTGCCACGCATTACCAAGAAGTGAACAGGACTTTCTTAGCTCCTAGCTTCTTTTGTATAGGAATTACCCAAGTTTGTAGTGCTGTCAGTTACAGCTGGAATTCCATTAGGGTAAATTTGTCAAGAATAAAGTACTACCAGGGTTAGTAAAATAGACTCTCTACTGAATTCTCATAGAAAACTCTAAAGAATTCATGAAAGTCCAGTTTAACTTCCAGTGAAGTACTGCAATGCCAGGCAACTGCAACTGCTCTCCCATTCTTCTCCTGAATTAGGTTGTGGACTGAATGACTCGCCTGTGGGGCTTGCTGCATATATTTTGGAGAAATTCTCTACCTGGACAGATAAATCATTTCTGCAGAGAGATGATGGAGGCTTGGAAAGGTAAGAAAATATATGCTTTCCCATGAGAAGACTCATTAAAAGAATGAGTGATGGTAACTAATGAGTAGATAAGTAAGAGACAGGCCAGTCAAAGCTGAATTATAAGGATGAAAGATCACACGTGACAAGTAGTAGTTTAAACTTATAGCAGACTGCCTGCAAACTACTGCTTCGGCACCAGGCAGTTTTGCTCTGGGCACATGGGTGCCCATTAATTTGCTGCTTGAAAAAAGAGTGGAGAACAAGAGGAACAACGGTTCTTCAGAGCATGAGCCAAATATAGCGTATTGAGAAAGAGCTTCCAGTTTAATTTCTTCATCTTTCTCTCTCAACAGCAAATACACTCTTGAGGAGCTTTTGACCAACGTGATGATTTATTGGGTGACATCCTCCATTGTGTCCTCCATGCGATACTACAAGGAGAACATCTCCAAGGACCCTACTCTATCTCTCCATGACAGGTAATGAAGTGGCAGGTGCAAGACAGGTTTGCAAATGAGATTGAACCATATTTGCCTGTATAAGCATTTAGATCAGTTACAACAACTAATTTAACTAGTTTTAAAAAAACATCTAAGTTCTTATTTTCTTTTGATAAATATAGTTATGGGTCACTTTTCTTTTGAACCTGTAGTTCACACAAGGTAGCTTGTGGCCAAGACCATGCAAAAGACTTATCAAAATGTATTCAGTCTTGTGCTCAAAATACAAGTCTACATACTTATTCACCAAACTCATGTAATCCGTGGCTCAGTTCATTAAAAACAAGACAGAAAAATCATGAGTGTTTCTAGGAGAGAAGTTTAAACGGAATTAGGAAGGCTATGGCTTAGTGGTGGATAAACTAAGAACTACAACTGCTAAGCACAAACTTGTGGAAGCAATTCAGAGAGCAGTACTTGAAACCAAGCCCCTCCTAACAGCAGCTGGCTTTAAGATGACTGTAAGAGAGGCTGACCAGGAAAATGCTGCTGAGCATAATTCTCCAAGTGATTGATCATACAAACAAATAGGAGAGTCATCTTCTTTGTAGACTGAACCAGTTTACCTTTCCTCTCAAGAGAGGAATTTGTTACGCTGGTAACATAAATTCTAAAGTAAACATGAGCTAGCTCATTTCTGACTTCCACAGTGAGGTGTGGCATCTCACCATGTATCACAAAACTACAAAACAAGGTAAGCTTAAAAATCTGAAACATTTCAAGATTGAGCCATGTGCAAAGTTGGCTCTACTTTAGACATCTTTGGGTATAACATTCTTAAACTCGAGAGCCAAATGCAAGTGAAACACTTCAGCAGAGTACAGACCACAAAATGGGTTGCAGGGATGAAACTTCTCCAGCTGACTGTGGCAGGTACCAGAGTCAGAAAGCTTTTATAGACTTTCCCCAGGACTTCTTTCAAAAATACAGTTAACTAATGTCTTCTAGGGTTGGAGTGCATGTTCCCACAGGGATTGCAGCTTTTCCTCAGGAGATAACACATGCACCCCGTGTCTGGGCAAAGGGTGTCTACAAGAACATCATCACTTACTCTTACATGCCACGTGGAGGGCATTTTGCTGCCTTTGAGGAACCAAAGCTTCTGGCAAAAGACATCATGCATTTTGTCAGAAAGGTGGAACAGCTGTGAACATGCAGTTTAGATACGTACATAGAACGGAAGCAAGTTGTTCTGCCAACAGCCGAACCTTTACTTTGAGGGATTAAATAAATTCAATGTAAACATATACAGAAGCTAACACTTTATTTTAATAAAATTATAGTACTAAACTTGTTAATCAAACTTTGGAACTCTTCATAAAAAAAAAACCAAACACAAGCGAAAACGCATCTTGTCTTCTTTCATTCCCGGCACTGTATCATTGCTGCGTTCGTAGTTCAAGTACAACAGAATACGTAAACAGTTTAATGCAGTAACATTGCACTCACTGGGGGAAGAGAGTAGAAAGAAACTGGACCCTTGTTCCTCAGAAGTAAGGCTTCTGTTCAAAAGTTTCTTTAAATACTTGAGTGCTAGCATTCTTAAACAAGCATTACAAGTAGCTTTGGTGGAAGCGTAAAGGGTTTTGATCTCCTGAGCACCACCACTTCTATGTTCAAGTTGCACTTCGTTCAAGAGACCTGCGATTACATATTCAAGTGGGCAGCTGCACATAAGGCAGCTTTCTTCATCCAGCAGTTTTTCCCCCTAGAGCTAACTTTAGCAGTTACTATACATTGTAAACAGTTGTTAATGGTTAATAAGGCAGAGACAGCACTCCTAGTGTTCGCCAAGCTCAAAAATATCAACTTAATTTCCTCCTAGTTCTATAATCTCATTCCATTCCAAAAAGTCAAAGATAAAACATGCACCAAGTGTAGAGAGTTACTTCAACCTTTACACTCCTTTCAAAGGATTTTTACCACTCCATCGTGCAATTTTTGCTAGCAAGAAACTGCAAGCAACCTCGCTACCAGTAGGCTCGAGTTTCTCGCCAAATGTGACAAAACTATTTGGAGCTTTTAAGCTTGTTTCATTGCAGATACATACCCAACTGACTGAAGATAACTTCAGCAGATATTTAATTCTGACACACTGTACTTTAAGGGTTTCTCTCCTTCCCTGTCCCTTTGTGCACCAGAGACCAGGCCAGAAGAAAGGGCTTAAGTTCTGCTTCCAAGTGGTACATTTGGATTTAGAACAGGAATTTGTCAAGTAAAGATAGTGCTGAACTTTAATCACTCTCCCCTCACCTCTTCACATTTCATAAACATTTAGATTCTAAGAGGTAAAAATAAGCAAGAAACTAACTTTGTTGTTTTAAGTGAGAATAAACTAGCATATAGGGGCAGGAGTCCTAGTTTCCTCCAAAGAGGGTTAGAGCAGAAACTGCTTACTTTTATTTTTACTGTGTATCTAACTGATTGTCAGGGCTGTTGGACTAAAGGCTAGTAAAAAAAAAAAAAAAAAAAAAGGAAGATGTGCTTCCCTGCCTCCACAGAACTGTTCAACGTCTTCTCATCACCAGTACAAGACAATGCTAGGTACAAGACCTCCCAATTGCTGAGAAGTCTGGATCTTTGGATTAGTAAGTAACTGAAACTGAGTTATGGAGAAGTCTAATTTTATCAAATAAATGGAAAAACACTTTGAGTACTCCAGCCTGATCAGACTGCAGAGAAAGGCCTCCTTTTACAGGAACAGGATCGGTAAGAATGGTTATAGCCTTTAGAGTAAAGGCCGAGTGTATTAATAATTACGTATATTATCTAGAGTCCCAAACAATCAGTTGATGTAGTAATTATTACCAGAGAAATGGCTGCGTTAAAACTCAAGAGAGAGAAGTCTGTATCCAGTATTTGCCAGTTCGGTCATTACGCGGTAGGAGAGTTTCAGTCCCACCACACTCATTCATCTCCTGTGCCACAACTCGGGTCCCTAAAGAATCACTGTATCTGTGTGCAGCTGTGCCTTAAAGGGTATTACTTGCTTTCAACAATTCAGGAGATGAAGACAAATGAACACAGTCAAGCTACAGAAAGACGGCAGATGCCCTGGAGAAGAGATCCAATCAGACAAGAATATGTGGTTACATTGGTAAAGTTATCACTTAAAGCAGCACCAAAGGTTATTCAATATTTCCTAAGAGTTCTACAAAACACAAGTCATTCATGAAAGCCTTTGAGCATCACTGGTGCTTGAAACCAGACATAGTCCTCCCAAGTAGAAGTCATACGCTGAGGCGGCGAGGCATTTATGTCGATGTCTCCATCACAGGACAAGTTAACAGTTAGTTTCCTCCCTCGGGTTGGCACTTTATAGTTGAGCTTGGGCCGGAACCAATCAACACCACAATTGCGGTGTCCTTGGAGCATAACAACAGTGCTCACAACAGGGAGAGTCTTAAGTTCACTGAAGATGTCTGCAACAAAGAGCGAGTGAAAGAGCTTGCGAACGCAGGATGCAGTTTTCAGGCTCTCTTCAGCACTGCCCTCGTATATACCCTCTAAGTTGAGCTCATAGAGCTCCTTGGGGCTCATGACATTGCCTCCAAGTAGAATAAGAACCCGAGGAACCAGTGTCAAACTAAACATTACTTCCAAGTGCTGGAGCAGTCCCTCTAGCTCCATCAGCATCTGCTGGCACTTCTTGCTTGCCAGGCCCGTAGAGGGTGGCTTCTTAATCACATCTCCATCCTGGAAAACAAAAAAAAAAGATTAGTACATTTCATTATTTAGGACATATTAGTTCTAATACACTCTTCAGAAAGTGTGGCTCATCCCATCCCTGAAAGTCAAGGAAGGTTCAAAGAGCTTTATGCTCCTTTTAAGAGATATAGGTACCCACATATAGAATCAAGTGATCCAAAAGGAACAAAAGTGTCTGCTCTATAGCTACTCAGTTCGAATCTGAATCACACTACTGATGAATTCCCACAAGAATTAGAAGCCTCATCTTTTGAAGATCAGCTATCACTCCAAAACAAGGGTTTTTTTTCCTTAAAGTTGTTTAAGTAACCAACAAAAGTGACATGCTTTGAGCAGAAAGCAGGACAACAAGAGAGAAACAGTAACTTGTTGAGACCTTTAGCCACCCAACCTAAGCCTTTTTTTAAAAAAGAAAAAAAAAAAGGTTGTGGTAACATTTAAGGATACAGCTACAACTAGCTTTTTACTTTAGAAGCAGTTGACACGTTAAAACACAAGTTACTAAGCTAAAATAGCCAGCCGACAGGCAAAACCCAAATGCCACTGCCCCAGGCCCGGGGGGGGGAATCCCTTCCCACCCTCCTCACCTGCGCCGCTCGACGGCAGAAGTAGGCGAGCT